TAGACACATTCAGCACTAAACAGCAATAGCCAACCCACCGACCCAGCCCCGCCAAACCTCCTTCCGTTCACCTCAGCTTCCCTTCCTTTTCCTGCCTGATATTTCTTTGTTTGTAGTCGAGAGAGCGTCGCTTGCTTATAACAATACGTGTAGAACAACACGGATTTCTCAGACTTTGTGCTGGATTTGAGCCAAAAAAGTATCTACAAAGGGATGTAACCTTGATCCAGAAGTAGCTTTAACCCTATCCGTACGCCCTGGGGTCATTTTGTACCCCCGGGGTAGTATTCTTCACATTTTAGAATACTTCTAGAGCGAAGATCTCTATGAAACTTTCAGTATTTCAAAAAATAATCATTTTGACAGACTGCTATGCAAAGCGTACGGATCGTATTAACGATTAAATTTCCTCTTTGGAAAGTGGTGGCACAGAGTTCCCCTCGTCGTATGGACACGATAGTAAAACACGACGTACGGATAGGGTTAAACCAACCGACTGCCCGGCAGACAGCTAAGATAACCACCAGTGTCCAAGTCTCGGTCCAGAGATATGGCCTCCGATACCACCGTTAAATTAATGGTTCGATTTTTGTCTCGATGGCGTTGAACGTTGAATTCTCCTTTTCAGCTGGACGGTGGATTGGAGTCTATTTAGACGACTTTGTGGGGAAAGGAGCGTCTTGTGGAAGGACTAGATCCTTTCAGAAACCTTCTGACCTTTTTACATTTGAACAGTGAAGTTCTGCAAGTTGGCCAAATTAATCGTTTATGCCCTCAGTCCAATGTACCCCCCCCCGTCTCTCTCTCTCTCTCTCTCTCTCTCTCTCTCTCTCTCTCTCTCTCTTTCTCTCTCTTTCTCTCTCTTTCTTTCTCTTTCTCTCTCTCTATGTATCTACATCTTTATCTCTCTCCTCTCTCTCTCCCTCAAATACTCTCTTTCTCACACACACACACTCAGACACACACACACACACACACACACACACACACACACTCACACACACATACACACACACACACATACACACACACACACACACACACAAACACGCACACACAGGCACGCACCACGATAATCTACCTTAATTAAGAAATCATCAATGCTGTACTTCTATGGTAGCAAGTTGTTCACCAAGTGCCTTTGAGGTGTTGGTCTGTGAAAACGATAAAAAGACGGGGTTTGGTTTTTTAAAAACAATACATTATTTGAGTTATGATGACTTTCGTAAGTGACAGGCCTGAAGCAGATATGAGCGATCGGGTTTTTGCCTTATTCCTCTCCTCGTATGCTCTGAATCATGAAAAGCACACCGTCCTGATCTTTCTCCTTCACTAACCTCAAGGATATTGAGTACTCTATTCTGATTTTTTTTTTAATTCGTGCTTTTGATGACAGAGGGATCTTTGCCTTATTAATAACTAGCTGAGCCCCCCGTTCGATGAAAGAACTTAATCGTCAAGTCATTGTGGGTTAAGTGTGCTCAGCATGTGAGCGGAAGTCTTGAAATATGTGAGGCAGCGTGGTGGAATCAGGCTCTCGTCAAAATAATCAAAGAGAAGAAACTTGCATTTTTCCACAGGTTTGTGAATTTTTATCAAATTTTTGCTTTTTGGCACAACACATTTTATGTCTATTTCAGAACTCATTTCTGTGTGGATTTTTCTGAAAAACGTTGATTAAAGGCATAAAAAAGTAAATCTTCAGTTACCACAGTTACCACGGACTCTTAAGCTAAGGAAATAACTAATCTTTGGCGTCATTTTCTCACTAATTTTACCTCTGGAAACAGGAGACCCCCACCTCCTTCTTTTGCAAATATCTCGACTTGTATTCAAGGTAAATGGATATTTTTTGCATCCAAATAAAGACAAGTGAAAAAGCTTTAAGATGATATCAATAACTTTACATGCCCAAATATTGACGAGAGCCTGATTCCACCACGCTGCCTCACATATGTCTTGAACACTGCATTTAACAGCATTGAAATGCTAGAACTCTGTGTGGACGAAACAAAGCATTTTGGAAAAATCGGGGAAAGCAGTTTGCGAGGATTTTTTTTAAAGTTAGGTCCTAGCCTCATGGATGCTGTGGACGCCTGCAGAGTTTCAAAGGTGTGGGTTAGGTAATAAGGGAGGAGTTTATGCACAAATCCTCCCAAGTCCACTTTTGTATAATATATAGATATATAGATAAATTATTGTAACCTTTATGTTTTGTCTACAGAAGGGGGAATCCCCACTGGAGGTGGTGAGCAAGGCTCCGGGAGTCCCCCCTGCTGTTCGAGATCTCTTTCGCAGATACGTGGTGAGTAGATTGTTTCCTTGTTTGAATGAGCGCATGCATGCGCGCTCGTGTGAGTTCCTATGTGTGTGTGTATGTGTGTATGTGTGTATGTTATATAATATGTGTGTATTCGTGTTTATCTAAGAATGTGCACACTTTTGAAATGCATTTGAGTGTTGTCAGGTTAGCAAGTAATGTATGAGAGTTGGATGGATTCAAACATGCGCGTTCGTGTGTGTGTGTGTGTGTGTGTGTGTGTGTGTGTGTGTGTGTGT